CGGTATTCTGATTTTATGGATGTACGCTAACTTTTGGATAACGGGAATCTTATTTATCGTTGGAGGTATGCTAATTTTTTTGTGAAACCTGTATTATAACTTGATGCAGTACATTATTCTTTTGCCTTCTTATGTGGCTATCATTGTTTTCACTCTACCCATGTTGCCGTTATTTATGCTATATGAGATTTGCAAGGGTGCTTATGCACCACTCATTAAATACTGTGCATGAATAGGTACCTAAATGACAAAAAGAACAAAAACAGTTCTGCCATCCATAGTTGACTTTAGCAGCCGTGCTGCAATCTGTTGGAATGATTTACCATTCAATATGATATCTAGGAATAACTCAAGAAATGAGAGGTATTTTAACCTTCTGACTGGATCGACCTAGAAAATTATAATTTATCTTAGAAATCATCATACCAAAACACATTATCATAGAAAAAGTTTTTAACTCTGATTATTTATTTTATTAGAGAAATTGTTGACGAACTGTTCTTAGTTTTTCAAATTGAATAGAGGATATGTGAATTAACTAGAATTTTGACAGTTAACTCTCTTTTAACATAGTGAGAGATTGATAATGCTGATATGATTTGTTCCTTGATGTTCTCACAATGCTTGGTAGGTTAAAAGATTGATAATGCTGATATGACTTGTTCCTTGATGTTCTCACGATGCTTAGTAGGTGGCTAATGATATACATATAGATACCCGTGATTGTCATAGTGGGGAAGGTAATTTAGCAGAGGTGAGGCACAAGGCCTGAAACAAAGAAGACAACCTTAAAACTCTCATATTCTTGTTTAGGACATGTATCTCGTGTTTTGCTATTTCCTCCATTTAATAAGTGTCCTCATATGTGGGCAGTTTTGTCCTAAACAATCTTGGGGAAAAGTTCCAAGACTTAAGAGCCTGTTTGGTACTCTACTTGAATTCAGCTTTTTAAACTCAAAAACAATTTTCAAGTTTTAGACCTTAAAAACTTGTTTGGTAGGACTATTTTCAAAAACTGAACTCAAGACTAACTCAAAAATATAGTCTATGATCTAAAAACACAAAAAATGAGTTTTTAAACTTAAACTCACTCCTTTCTTTTCTCTCCCTCCTCCCTCCTCTCACTCCAAATCTCTCTCTCCCCCTTCTCTCTTTTTTTTTTTTTTTTTTACCTTTTTAGTTTCTCCTCTAATCCGCTCTCTTCATTCTCTCGGTTCTTTCTCTCACTCCTCTTCCTCTCTATCTCCTCCGATCCTCTCACTTCTTTTTCTTTCCTCCAGTCATCTCTTACTTTCTTTCCTCCTCTTTCTCTCTCGACCCCCTCTTTTTGGATCTTTTTGTTCAGTTTAAGTTGTAAAATTTAAAATTTTTAAATTGCATACCAAGTAAGTTTTTGAGTCTTAAAGAAAATTGTTTTGAAGAAAAATTCTTAAGAAATGTTTTGAGAAATTATAAAAAATTTCAAATAGGATACCAAACAAGCCCTAAGCATATAGAGGTCATATAAGTGGATCAGCATTCTGATATACTGTGGCTTTTCTATTGATGTTAAAAATACTAAAAACTGTATTACAAATGCAGGTTATTTGTTCTCCCTAAATCATGCACGGTTGCTGGTCTTGATGGCAACTGTATATGCTATTTATTGTGTCAAAGTTCAAGTTGGATGGCATGGTGTAGTTATCTCAATAAACCTTGCATTCATCTCTAATGATGCATTAAGTTATATGCTCCAATGGTGTGATAAAGTGAGTGAAAGCACACACTTTGAAGAGCAAAAGCAATCAGAAACAGTTATGGAGGATGATTTTTCTGGGGAATGTGAATACTCTATTCCTACTGATCAATCTGAAAAGCTGCACTCATGTAACTCATCTAGCACGCCAAGTACCTCGGCTGTTATAAATGAAAAAGAAGAATCTTTCCCTATTAAGGTGGTCAAAGAAGAAATAAGTTCAGCTGATGAGATGAAAAAGATTTTAGACAGTAATGATCATTATGAAGCACTAGGATTTCCCCGCCACAAAAAAGTTGATGCAGCAATATTGAAAAAAGAATACCGGAAAAAGGTGGATATTACCTTACCTTTCTTCTGTTTCATTAATGGGAATTTTCTCTTTTTCCCTCTCATTCTAAGTACGACTTGTGAAATTATTTATGTGAAGTAGAGGAACTACTTTATTGTGATTTGACTTTTGACAAAAAAGTGGTAGCATTAGTGGCTGAATACAACTTTGAAGAATCTGATGTGCAGTTGAGTTATATTATAGATGACTAAGATGCGTGATTATCTCTTGTACAGGCCATGCTTGTGCATCCTGATAAAAATATGGGAATTGCATTAGCGAGTGAATCGTTTAAGAGACTTCAATGTGCATATGAGGTAATTATAGAGACTTGTTTTTTGAGTTGTATAGTAATCGTTGTATGTCTTAAATGAGAATTATAAGACCTAAATAATGTCTTCATTGTGATTCTGTATGTGCCTCTCACAACGACGCATTTTTAGGTTCTCTCTGATCCCACAAAGAAGAGAGACTATGATGAGCAGTTGCGAAAGGAAGAATCCAAGACTAAGAGTGTGTGCCAGAAGTCCTGTGGCACTTCACATCAGGTGAGCTTGTTCTTTGATTGTAGATTCAGTTGTTTGGTGTCATCCACTTTCCTGAGATTTATCTGATTGTCATTTTGATGGAGGTCATCAATAAATATAGATACGAGATGAGTTATAATTTATATGTTGTCTTAGTAATTGCGAATTCATAATATATTGATTACATTTTCTATGGCTCGCAATTTCCAATTTATATCAACCATTCAATGCAGTAGAAGTTATCTTTTATTTATAGCAGTCTGCTTTGTAATTACGCATCTTCTTTCCCAATGATAAATCGTATTTCCTTCGGTCATTTTTCTGAGTCAATTTACTGATATTTTTATGTAACCCTTATTCAATTGTGTATAAGCAGGATGGTCCAGATTATTACTCTGAAGAGTCGAGACGTATACAGTGCACTAAGTGTGGAAATTCGCATATATGGGTATGCACAAACAGAAGCAAGTCCAAGGCTAGGTGGTGTCAGGTCTGACATTATTCTCTATTAGTTAGTGTTCTTTTTAACTAATTTCAGTGTCAAATATGTTACATTTCTCATTTTTTTGGCTTCATTGGTGTATGTATCTGATTTATTGGATCCGTTTGCAATTAGGATTGCTGTCAATATCACCAAGCAAAGGATGGAGATGGATGGGTTGAGTACAAAGGATCTCTAGTCTTTAATAGGCCGCATAAGGTATTTTACACAGTACTTTTTGTGTTTTTTCACCCTATGCAAATAGTTCTGCTGTCCTCACTTGCATTTATCAATGTTTTAAACAACAAAACAATTTTTCACATAAGTGTAAGTTACATGTCAGAACTGCAGAAATTACTATATAAATAAAGGGAGGTAGGAAATGATTTGAGAGTTAGAAGTTTTGAATCAAATGTTTAAATGGTGCTCTCGTGACTTTCAGGGATGAGAGCCTGCTTCAAGGCCTCTCGTGATTTTCATGTGCTTTTCCTGTTTGTTTCTATAATGCATGTTAATATCTTCATACAATACCGATATGCATGATTTGTCAAGTTGAATCATTTCCCTTATTGCAGGAATGTACATTTAAGCATCCCTAATGATTTTTGTTGGATCTTTGTTTTGTTCTTTCGTTTAGGTGGAAATACCACGGGCCTTTGTCTGTGCTGAGAGCAAAATCTTTGATGTGTCTGAATGGGCTATTTGTCAGGTAATGGTTTTAATCAAAATACAATATGTAAGTTCCGCAAGCTTATCCTTGTTCTACAGTCTCTGCATGTTTAGCACCCTACATGGTGGTGGAACTGTGCAATAAATCAGGCAAATTGCCTCTGAAGTATTTTAAAACTTGATCTGGAAAGTAGTCAAATTTGAGCAAACGGACCCTTTTATCTGGCAGACATCCTGCTGAACCTTTGTAGCACAGAAGACACTATATTGGAAAGACCTAATTGTTTCAGACTTAGTGAACAAGTGCCCTTGATCCATTATTATGTTCTTGGTGTGTGCATCTCTTTGTGCCAGGGGGAAAAATGAGGATAATATCTTATCGCTTCAACTTGTTCCATGCAGGGAATGGCGTGCAGGCCCAACACTCATCGGCCTAGCTTCCACGTTAACATGGTTGGTTTGGAGAAAACTCAAAGATCCAACTCAAGTAGATTCCCGTGGGATTTGGATGCTGAAATGATGGATGAAGATGAAGAAGAATTTGAGGTTTGGCTTCAGCAAGCTCTGGCCTCTGGCCTATTTTGTGAGACCTCTAAACGCCGAAAGACCTGGAGTCCGTTCAAGTTGCCCCAGAGAGTGAAGAGGCAATCGCGAAGAACGTCATGCTGAACAGCTTAAGAGGGCTATGCAGGAAGATCTTCCCATCTCAAGAAAGAGCAAATGATTTGTCAAGATACTGATTGATAGGTTGCTTGTATCACCAAACGAAGGTTGGTGCTCAACAAAGAAGACGGGAATGGTGTGGCGTCTTGAAAATTAAGATCAATGATCGACACGCGTTGTATCACGACTCAAAGGGTAAGGGCCCGATTTCAGGCATCAGAGCTCAGGTTTTTGTTGCTCTTGTTGCACATTTAGTTTAATCCAATACTTTCAATCGCATTTGGCATGTTACTCAATCTCAATGTGTTCTACCTAACGGATGAAAAGCCACCACACACTGTTCCTCTTTTTGTACATATTTATCTTGTCAATAAAATTTCTCGTTTACTTAAAGTGTTACTTTCATGGAATGCGTAATGGAGTTACTCCGATTTTTTACTTCCTGTAACTTCTTCAATTGGCGACTTTCTCCGTTCGAGCAAGTAAACATGACTTTCTCCACCAAGAACATAACAGCCCAAATCAATGTCAAACATATAGGGAGATTGTGTTAGCAATGTAAAGAAACCTGGAACTCACAAAATTAAGGATCTGTTGTACTGGAATACTAGCGCATGGATATCTTACTCATAAACAAATATGATTATTTCTTGTTTACATCTAAATGTAAAAGAACGGGCGACTCGGATTCCAGGTGGGAGTAGGAGATCTTACTTCATATCGCTCACCTTCGGAATCCAGTAACAAATCTATTAATACCAGCAAAATCGGCAACTATGTTCAAATTACAAAAGCTGCCTCCAGCATCGTTTTCCATGTACTCTACGAGATACTTGCACTGCTCCTCGCCGTTTGTCTGCAACATCATAAGATTGAAGGGGAAGAGAGATTAGATCAATTACAAGCTAATCGAAAACAGTAAATGCACAACACGATGTCATTCCCGCGAGGCACCTTGTAGTCGCAATTTGGAAACACCAGTGTTTTGCTTTCACTAAGACCTCATTTTTACTCTCTAAAGTTGTAGCAAAACGAGGAATGGACGGGAACTGAAGCCGAGATTACAAAATTTATGGCATACTTAGTTACTAACCGTCTATGTTGATTTTAACATTTAGCAAGCGCAAAAATAGATACCTCGAAAGCAAAGAATCCACCAGGTTTCAACATAAAAGCAGCCCCTTTGCAAAGATGTAAAAGATCATCCATGCCATTGACACCGCCGTCCAGTGCAACTCTTGGTTCATGTCGTCCAACTTCAGCTTGTAGCCCCGCGATATTGTCACTTGGTATGTAGGGTGGATTACTTACAAAGCCTGAGAGTTTACCTTCCACATCCTTTAACGGTCCAAACCAAGATCCTTGCCTTAGCTCCACTATATCCTGATCGGCACATCAAAATTGGATCTTGAGCACACAAACAAATAGAAAACTTCGAAAAGTAGCATAAAAAAGAGATGAAAGTTCAAATATTTGGAACTTCCAAATTACTTGGCAATCAGGATGAAAGTTCAAATCTTCGCTAGTACATAGATAGAATCTCGCGAGTTATCAGTTAAACACTAACCTGCAAACCATACCTCTGCACATTCAAAGCTGCAACCCCAATTGCCGTGGGACTCAAATCGGTAGCAATGACTCTCCCACCACTCCCCAAAACCCTTGCAATCCCAATCGCAATCGCGCCACTCCCCGTCCCCAAATCAGCCCACAACCCCTCCCTCAACCCCTCATTCCCCAAAACCACACCCCCCACCAAATCAACAATGAGCTCAGTCTCTGGCCTCGGAATCAAAACCCCTTCTTCAACACACAACACCAAGTCCCTCCAATGCTCGCACCCGACAACATACTGAAAAGGCCTCCTCTCCTCAACCCTCTGCTTCCACAACATATAAAGCTCCTCAATTTCGACCCTTAGCCTAACGCTTCCGTCATTGTTATCGACGTTTTTGGTTTCTTCGATTGCGTCCTCCATGAGCCATTTGAGCTCTCTGCGCAAAACGGTCGAGTCCGGACCGTTGTCCAAGTCCACGAACGTTGACCCAACAGAGGAAGCGAGGGTGTTGGCCCAGTCGTGCCATTTTTGGAGGTCGGAGGTGGTGGCAGAGTGGGTGGGCGGTCGCAGAAACAGAGGGGTTTGGGGTTTTGGGGTGGTGGGTGGTGGTGGTATTGAAGAAGCAGAGCAAACGGAGCGGTGGAGGTTTGTGAAAAGTGAGGGTTTAAGAAACGGTGAGAGTCTCGGACTGAAGCTTAGCTTCATCGTTTGTTCATGTCTCTCTCAAATTACCCTCCAAAATGCCTGTTGGGGTTTTATCCCTTTTTTTTTTTTTCGGAAGAAGAAGAAGAAGAAGAAGAAGAAAATAGAGTTTTTATATTTTTGTACAATTTTTTTTTTTTGTCAAATATCTTTTTGTATAATTTTTTTTGTTTTTGAGAAATTAGCTAGAAACATTACAAACCCTGTTTGCCGAAATAGAAATATTGACATGAATTACATAAATAACATAATCTTAAATAACGTATGCTGATTTTTTCAGTATGTCAATAACTTGTAGCTAAAATTTTGTGATAGATGTGCTGGATACAAATTCATTTCTCCATCCCTTACCAGAAATGTATTGTTGCACTAAAAAAATAAAAAAATCTAGAATCAAAAGAATCAAATTGAGGAGTTTGATGATGTAGGTCAAAATTCAGATTTCCATTGAAGTTTTAAGTAGAAATAATATCGGTTTAACATAAGTTAATAATCAAATTTATGCATAATCCAAATGAAAACCAATTTGAATACTAAAATGCGCTTGCGGCTTGAAAAAATTCCAAGGAACCCGAAAAAGTCGAAATTTCACTTTCTTGGATTAAAGTGAAGTAAGAATTTTACAAAATAATGCGAGTGCAAGTAAAATAATGAATTCTCGATAGCAAGCTTCTCCTGAAATCAAAATACCACCTCGCTTTCAAAAGTAAAATTCCTCCAAAATCAAAAGTTAGTTGAAATTCTGAATTTTCAATTTTAATTCCTCTATGATTAGTAACACATGAACAATCCGTAACTGGAATCCAACATTTTATTTTGATTCAACCTGCCGTTAGCATTAAGCTCAATTTCCATATAGTTTTGTGCATGCATTGTAAACCCACCTCAAAAGGGGCACATAACATACAAGCATGCAAATAAACAAGAAGAAAAGCTCCATGCTTAATTAGTAACAACCACACAACCTCTTTGCTTCTGACCCGAAACAGGATTGACCGATAAACTTCACTGCATATGCACAAAAAAGGTCTTGGACAAAAATGCAACACGAAATACCGGTAATCCATAAATAACACGGCGGATAAGAGTTTCTTAAACTTGGATCCTAGGTGATCAGTAGTCTTTGGATACGAGATTTTCCTGCTCATCAGGGCACAACATCAACCTGTGCAAAAATCATAAACATTGCAAAATTGGAAACTCAAGAGTAATATTCCTGCAGCATAATTGAATTGCTAACAGATCTAGTGAAAAACAGTTCTAATGATAACATCAGATGTTCCGTCGAAGCTCAGAAAAATGAAGAATCCTCACTAGACTGGGATTTGAAAATAGTAGCATGCAGAAGCATTGCATGACCATCCTCCCTCATACAAGTTGGAAACCAATACTGCTATTTAAGCTAATTTCTCTGTGTTGAGGAGTAAGTAATACAACTATTATTACATACAGTGATGCATGGGTGTAGACATAAGTTCTAAAATCAAAAGTTATCCATGCAAGACCACATATGTTTTCATCTTTAAGATCAGTCGTAAGTATTTGACTGACTTTAGTTTGGTTGATACTGAGGGGCGGTAACTATTCACAACGGTAAATGGTGGATTGTAAAGTTACCTCTTGATCAGCAAGAAGCATGTATATACAATTGGGAAGATAAGATCAACCAATTCTGCTCCCTGATGCGAGAAGCTGCATTTGTTCAGTGATGTAATTCATATGTTGACTCTTGTCCCATCCATTCTCCTTCCCCAACTGCAAGTCCTGATTCACGGTCACTCCATCATCAGAACTCAAACTAATTTCGTCTGTGTCACCAGGCAGTGGGCTCGCTGTAAGAAATTGTTCCCAGAAGATATCATTAATGCTTGGAAGGCTAGAGACCCCATCTGGCAAGGTTTCTGCATCAGGCTCAGGAGAAAACGGGTCAATATCTGTAGGCAGTCTGCCATCTAAACCTGCTGACATGCCCATGTATCCTGCATTCCCAGTCTCTGAGTTGATGAAGTTTGCATTGGGGATTTCCACATTGCTTTCTGGAACGATACCTTGCATTCGAGTTAGTTCAGGGATAACTGGATCTTGTTGGAAATTAAGCATGTTCTCTTCAAAAACTTGAGTTTCTTTAACAGAGTTGGAAACCGCGAAAGGAGAAGACTGGACCTCAGAAATGCCTGTAGAATGACAACTGACAGGAAATATAGACTCGTCCGGCATATCACACTCTGCAGAAATTGGTGGAACCTCTGAAAGGGTCACCCCTAAAATCCGACTAGAGGTGTTCATACTATCTGTTGCATTGGAAGGAACATTATCAATTAGGAAAGCATCAGGATTGATCATTGATGGTTCCAGCTTAGGAGATGTATTCATCTTCAAGATCTGCCGCAGCATGGCTTTTGCTGCTTCATTCATTGAAGGCTGGTACTTCACCATTTGTCCATCAAGAACTTTGCTGCCAAGGTTCCCAACTAAAATTTCATCTTCTTGCCTTGGGAGTCTCCTTTTCTTATTGCTTCCAGTGATGAGCCTATTATTTTCATTTTGATGCTGTACAAGCTGGGATAAAAATCCGGGATTATGCATAGCCTTTGCAAGGAAAGACATCATTTGCTGCTGCCGTTGCTCCATTCCCTGCATACGTTGCCCAACATTATGCAACTGATTTTCTGTTGCTTGCTGTTGCTGCCTCAGCCTAACAAGTTCCTGCATAAGACTGTTCTTATCTCTTTTAAGACTTTCAACCTCTTCCTCCAGCCCAGGATTTCCCACATCTACACATGCCCCAACCTGAGAGCTCTGCACTTGAGGTGGTTGTTGTTGATGATTCTGTACATGAGCTGGTTTTCGCCTGCTTACGGTCTTCAAAAGGTGTTTTTGGCCTCTTAGAAACCCTTCATTTGCAAATTCCCATCGGTCTGGATCAACCTTTCTAAAACCCTGCAAATTGAATGCAAAAACAAAAATACTAATTCTGTATGATGAAAATAGAGTCAGTTACAAGTTTTACATACAACATAAACTAAAATTTATTTTGGAGCATAAGACAGCCAGATTCTCTCATCTCATGATCTTGTCTTAGGTAACAAGCACCATTCACATACTCGTAGTTATGGTTTCCAACCTCCAACAGCCAAATGCTGCAGAGCAACTCCTTAGCTTTTGCCTCTTTTTCTACTCTTTTACTATCAAGTAGAACTTCTCCCCTTACTAGTAACAAGTGACAATAGGAGAATAACTATACCAAACAGTGCATGATAAGTGATTGCAGAATGTTCAGGGACTTTTGTCTAAAATAGAAAATCAAAGGCAATAAAAAATAAAAAACCGGCACTGAGAATGCATCTCAACTTGTTCAATCTAATTTAACAACTGAGAAACAAGTTTTCAGTTAAGAACGGACACCTGATTAGAGTAATTCTACAAACACACGTGACATATCCACATAAAAAAATACATATATATATACAGATATTATATACATACAATTTTGATGCCATATTCACCAGTAAGCATATTTACATATATTATATACATAAAAACATACATACAAGTTTTCTGTTAAGAACGGACACCTGATTAGAGTAATTCTCAATACATCTCAACTTGTTCAATTTTAAAACCTCTAGAAGTAAGAGAAGAGGAAAGGAACAAACCTCACGTGCACATACCCGTTCATTTGAACTACTACACCCCGCTAGTTTTTATTAACAATGCCAATAAGTATTTACCAAAACTGGATCACTAGTTGATACCTGTCATCTGTAAGAGTTCAGACAACACGTATCATTACATTTTGTATTATGCCATATAACTGTATCGTCCTTGTACAGAGAAACAGTTTCAACAAGTCAGACTATCAAATCAGTAACTAGGTTGACATGTAGAAAGATCAACTACTCGCCTTGAAAAATCACAATGCCTATCACCAGGTTTTTAAGGGACTGCAAGGGCCAAAAACTTTCTTTCGTCAAGATAAGATGGGAATTTTGGGACAGTATCAGGAAATGTCTAAGAAATTTTTTATTCCACTTTATACAAAATGGACTCATTAGAACAAAAAATCTCCACGGTCTTACTTTATACAGAAAATATCTTCATCAACTGTAAATTAATGAGTAATGCAACGCACATAAGTAGTCGGCTTAAATTTTTAATCTCAAAATAGTTCTGACCTCTTAACGTCCTTTTTCCTTCTAGGTTTTCACCTGGTTCAGAACAAAACAAAACAAATTGAAATCTTTTCGACTCGATTACATGACACAGTGATCGCCTTGGACCTAAAGGAACCCAGTGAATGACAAAGAATTCAATTCAACAACAATGGCTTAAATCGTCTGATATAAATCCACACATGCATAACTTATCTTCACAATTTACTTATTTACAGCCTCCAATTCGATAACCCTTTCGCCAAAATAACAACTGCAAAACCTAATAGAGCATTGATCACACGTAACCACTCCAAATTTCACAGTTCCGATCGGAATCACCAAGAAAACAACAATCAAATGCAGGAAAAGCACAGAAGAATGAAAATTCAGGAAAGGGAAGAAATACCCACGTAAGTATTCAACTGCCTGACGAAGCTAGAGAAGTTGTTGTGCTTGAAATACTTGGGCAGGAGGTCCCTGGAGAACTCGGGGACGTTCCAGACGACGAAGCTGTTGTTGCTTTTGCTCCAGGAGACGACGGTGTCGGTGGAGGGGTCATCCACCATGTCGTAGGTTTTGTTCAGAAATGGCGGAGGAGGAGTGTTGGCGGAGTTGAACACCGATGCCACGTCTTCGACTCTCTCCATGGTTGTTTGCATCAGTGTTTGGGAGAATTGTATTTAGAGAGAGAGAGAGAGAGAGAGAGAGTGGGAAGGGAAGCCCTAGATTGCTGGGGATGATGAGCGATAAGGGGATGGTGGGAACTCGCGGCAAGTTTGGGTGACGACAGCGCACGCAAGTCCAATTATGTACATGGAAATCGGGTGGATCTATGCGTTGGCGCCTTGCGGTAATTTTGGGGTCACGGAGGTGAGCGCATTTTGAAATGCATAATGAATTTTAGTTCGGTATTTCATTTGATATGTTTTGAAT